TTCAAATCCCTAATGTCGAACATGGCGACGGTTGACCCTTCCACAACAGAAGAAGACGATCAGTTACCTGTTTGGGAAGATCCATGGATGCATTACATGAATATCCAATACGGTGATCGATTTGAGCAAAGAGAACCTCCTACCGAGGATAAAGTGGTTCAAGTTAATATGGGTGACGAAAATAATCCGAAGCCTATATTTATCAGCGGTGATCTCCCGCCAGACGAAAAAGAGGAATTAATTGCCCTCGTTAAAGAGTATATCGACGTTTTCGCATGGAACTACGAAGATATGCCAGGACTCGACCCAAATGTAGCAATGCATACCCTTAACATAAAATCGGATGCTAAACCTGTCAAGCAACAACAAAGACGGTTTCGTCCGCAAATTATGGAGGCAATAGAAGCTGAAGTTAAGAAGCTAATTGACTCGGGTTTTGTCAGAGAGGAACAACATCCTGAATGGTTGGCCAATATCGTTCCAGTCCTCAAAAAGAACGGAAAAATCAGAATCTGTATTGACTTCAGAGATCTGAATACAGCATGCCCCAAGGATGATTTTCCCCTACCGATTACGGACGTCATTATCGACAACACATGCGGGTTTGAAAGAATGTCGTTCATGGATGGATTTTCTGGGTATAATCAAATCAAGATGCATCCGGATGATGAAAAGCATACAGCTTTCAGAACACCTCTTGGCGTCTTTTGTTATACCGTTATGCCTTTCGGTTTGAAGAACGCCGGTGCTACGTATCAACGGGCGATGACGAAGATCTTTCAAGAACACCTTAGGAAGACCGTCGAATGCTACGTTGATGATCTGGTCGTTAAGAGTCGTGATAAAAACGACCACATTAACGATCTGAAGACAATGTTCGAGCTTATGAGAACTCATCAGTTAAAGATGAACCCGACTAAATCCTTCCTTGGAATGTCGAGCGGTAAATTTCTTGGATTCGTTGTCACCACAAAAGGTATCCATATTGATCCCGATAAGGTGAAAGCGATAAACGAACTGCAGCCTCCGAGAAATCTTAAAGACCTCAGAGGATTGCAAGGTCGATTGGCATATATCCGTCGGTTTATATCGAACTTGTCCGGAAAATGTCAACCGTTTTCCAAACTCGCGAAGAAAGGCGTGTCGTTCATTTGGGATGAAGCATGTCAGAAGGCATTCGAAGATATCAAGAAATATCTAGCGAATCCACCTATTCTCGTTGCACCGAAATCGGGCAAGCCGTTTTTGATTTATGTCAAAGCGACGAGCCATTCGTTAAGTGCCTTACTTGCACAAGACGACGATAACGGTCACGAACAAGCGGTCTATTATCTAAGTCGCACACTGGTAGGAGCCGAATCTCGTTATCCAATGATCGAGAAGGAATGTCTTGCTTTGGTGTTTGCAATCCAGAAAATGCGCCATTACTTGGTTGGACAGACAATCTATGTCATCTCCAACATAAATCCCGTCCGAGTATTCATGACCCAACCGGCTTCCATGAATTGGCGTTTGGCCAGATGGGCTTTACTCTTATCGCAATATGACTTGTACTTCAAACAGCAGAAATCAGTTAAAGGACGAGCTATTTGCGACCTTTTGGCAGAAAACCCTACGAAGGATGTAGTCGAATTGTACGACGACCTGCCAGATGAAACTCACGAAGTTAATACTACCTCACATCAACAAGTGTGGCAATTGTACTTCGATGGGGCTTCCCGATCAACCAACGTGGCAAGTGCACCCGGATGTTCTAAAATCTCCTCAGGAGTGGGGGTCGTTTTAGTTTCCCCGGAAAAGCACGTCTTGCCTAGAGCATATTCACTGACTAAACCATGCTCTAATAACGTGGCTGAATACAATGCATTAATAATCGGACTTAATTTCGCCAAAGAGCTGGGGGTCGAATACCTTGAAGCTTTTGGAGATTCTCAACTGGTGGTTAATCAAATACGAGGAGAGTATGAAGTCAGAAATCGAGACCTGATTCCATACCACCAGGTGGCCATCGAAATAGCAAGCTCGTTTGAAGAATTTTTCATCGAGTACGTTCCGCGTCTCCAAAATACATACGCGGACGCATTGGCAGCATTGTCAGTATCCTTGGCTCAACCTCCCGAAACAGAGCAATTAATTACAGTGAGGACTCATCAGCTTATTGTTCCAATCTACGATTCGAATGCTAAAGAGGTATACTCAACTGGAGTTGAACCCGAAGTTCGAGATTGGCGTTTTCCTATTATTGACTACGTCTTACATGGTATATTATCTGAAGATGTAAGAGAAAGGGAATCGATTCGACGGAGAGCGCCGAGATTTTATTACAATGCCACATCGCAAACGTTGTATCGACGAGCTTATGATGGTCTTTTACTTCGTTTTCTATCCAGTAAAGAAGCGGATATCAAATTTATTAAACACCACATCATATATCGGTATGGTGTGCCAAGGCGAATAGTGCACGACAACGGTCCTCAGTTCGTGAGCAACGCATTCATCAAGTTCTGCGGTAAATTCGGGATTAAAGACGTTTCGTCGACTGCTTATAATCCTACAGCTAACGGATTGGCCGAAGCTTTTAACAAGACTATCATCAAAATCCTGGCAAAATTGGTGAAAACCAATAAGCGAGATTGGGATGACAAACTCGGCGAAGCTCTCTGGGCTTATCGTACGACCGTCCGCACGCCTACCGGAGCCACCCCGTATGCTTTAACGTATGGGTGTGAAGCCGTTCTTCCATTGGAAGTGCAGATTCCTTCTCTCCGTATCGCTCTCGTAACGGGAATGACGACGGAAGAACATCATCAGAAACGTCTCGAGGAATTAGAGATGTTAGATGAGAAACGCTTGGAAGCTCAACAACAAATCGAGTTTTATCAAGCTAGAATTTCTCGGGCTTTCGATAAAAAGGTCCGACGACGAAGCTTTAAAGAAGGAGATCTAGTTCTCGCCGTCCGAAGACCTATGATTCTCACTTCTAAGAAGAAAGGCAAATTTGAACCTAAATGGGAAGGACCGTTCGTGATAGAAACAGTCTACTCAAACGGTGCCTATCGCCTGATTACTCAGGATGGCAACAAATTAATGATGCCGATAAATGGGAAGTTCCTGAAAAAGTATTATCCGTAATACGTTCAGGATAACCTATGTAAAACGGGAAGTTCCTAGAGAATCCTATGTAGGATATTTCAGGATAACCCGATATCAGTTGATTGTTTTTAATGAAGACTGATCATGTGAATAATCTATTCTTGATTATTATAAAAATAATTAAGATTCTCATATTACTTTTGTTGAGATGAGATTTAATCACAATTAATCTTTCCTCACAAAACCCCTCACCGGTCAAACCTTTGAACAGTTAGGACCAAAGCCAAAATCCCCTCTCGATTCTTTCAATGAACGAGAGGTCCACAAATCAAATGATCCAACCTTCCTACAAGTAAGGATCGTCTCAAAACCCCCACTTGGTCAAACCTTACTACAGTTAGGACCACAGCCAAAATCTCCTTTCGATTCATTTTTGTTTGCGAACGAAAGGTCCACTTTTGGATTGAGTAATCAAACCTTATGACAGTTAGGATTATTCAAACCAATCTAGATTCTCTAAGTGGAGATTCCACTTTAAGTTTCCTTTTCACCAGGAGATAGAATATAAAATTCTTCCTCTCCGATTCTGGGTTTATCTCTACCAACAAACAAGAGACCAGGAGATAGAATATAAAATTCTTCCTCTCCGATTCTGGGTTTATCTCTACCAACAAACAAGAGACCAGGAGATAGAATATAAAATTCTTCCTCTCCGAGTATGGGTTTATCTCTACCAACAAACAAGAGATTGAGAAACGGAATATGCAATTCTTTTTCTCTCCAATTCTGGGTTCATTTTCCTGTATAGGAAATATAACCTATTCTCATTCTAAAATCCATGTCGTTCGCACATGGGGGATGTTATCTCTATCCCTTATTAGAGATAAGCCTATATCTAACACATGTAGCCTACATATTCAACATTGTAGTTCAAAGTCTAAAAGAGTTTAATTCTTTTAGTGCAACGTTATATGTGAAACGGACTTAGATAATTCGCATACTAGCCCGATTCAAACGGTAATCGGTAAAGGCATATCAAATCTGTTGATGGCTGAGGATTTGCCAAAAATCCTATAAGTATTATGGTTATTTATTCTAAACAAGAATGAGTAATCATAATAAAACCTCAATGAGCAAAAAAGTTCACTATGTTGACCAAGAATTTTCAAACAAAGCTACAAAAATATATGTTCTCCGATTACAAGAGTTTATATTGACTAATTTGATTTTCAAGTTTTGACAGCTCTAACGCATAAGTCTGTTCAAGCTCAGCCGTCAATTTAATCTTGAAAGCTTCCTCATCAACACTTTGAAGCGCGGCGACCTCTTGTTCCTTTTCAGCAATCATTTGGTCTTGAAGGTTCAGTTGCTGTAATAAGTTGCCTTCAGTGTGAATTTCCCGCTTCAACTCGGACTCCAAGACATCATGAGCATCCTTGGCCATTGCAAGTTCCTCCTCTAAGCGAGCTATTTCCGCTCGACTCGATTCTAAATCCCGGCGTAGACGCTTGCAGCCTGGATTCCATATGAGAAGCGATGTAAAAAGGTACGCCTTTGGTGCGAAGAGTTTGCAGAAGTTCAATATGTTGTCTCAACTCAATCAAATAAGTGGTGACTGAATCAGCTAAGTCGTTATACCCTTCCTCTCTTAACCCTGATATAAAACGCTCAAAAATTTTTTTATAATTCTCAAAATACGATCTTTTGAAGAGAATGCGATCGACCATAGAGTTCAAAAAGGAGATGAAGCCTTGGAGATTAGAGCAGATAACAGACTTGTCCGGATCGTCATCAACCAATAACGCTTGGATTTGATTTGATAATGATGAAGGAACTGCGAGAAAGTTAAATAAGTCAGTATAAGATGTATATATATATATATGTATATATGCATACAAGACAACAAGTTAAAGCATACCAGGTTCGACGGAAGAACTTTCAGCATGACGTGGTTCACCCAAAGACGGTAGTTTGGATTCCGGAACAACCAAGGTTGATTCAGGAATGGTAGCTGTTGATGCACCCGCTACATCAGAGGCTTTTTCAATTAAAGCTTCAGAAGACGGCGGGTCCAAGCTAAGAGGCTCTTTAAGAGTTGATTCTACAAACGAAGGAGTTACAATGAGCATAACGAGATGTTAACCCAAAATTTAAAACAAAATTATGGGTAAAATGTACCAGCTCTGGGCATAACATCAGCCGACGTACCAACGCCTTCAGTTGGTCTCGCTTTTGTTGCGACCGGACTAATCTGGGGAGTGACAGTGACTTCTATCATCATAGGGTCCATAGGAGTAGAAGGTTGAGGCTCAAGAACTGATGATTGCAAATCAACCTCAGTTCCTGCCCATGGCACGAGTTCGCTACCCTCTGGCCGATCAGACGTTCCAGTGATTATAGTAGTATCAGCTCCAGCAGTTGGTCCTATAATTCAGACACTTATATGATTAATCAAGTCAAAATATATACGTATATATATATGTGGAGTTCACAGAACCAAAGTCTTACTCTCAGAAGGACCGGCTTCCGTTGAACCAATTCCAACATCTGAGCCGATAGTTGCATCAGAGGCTTTCTCTAACAGAGAATCAAGGATTTGTTGATGGTCGTCCTCTGAGATATTAAAGTCGAAATTATTAAAATCGTCGACTTTGGTGGCATGGGTAGCTTCTCCTTCAATAGGCTCGTGCATCGGGACGTCTAAAGAACATGATGAGCCATAAATAACATGTAAATTTAGACGAATCTGCCCAAGACAAAGATCGATTTTACCTTCATTGGTCGGGGCGGATTCGAGAGCTTCATTACTTGCACCTACTTCTTTTAATTTGACTAAAAGGAGAGAAAGCGCACAGGTCATTAGAGGAGGCACACGGTCCGACTCATTCATTTCTCGGATTTCTCTTCCGAGAGGAGAAAGATCAGTACATGCGTCCGTAGCGGATGTATCAACGTTAGGAGTTGGGGCAGCGTCAGCTGGTCCTTCTTCCAGAGCATCTTGCATTTGCTGGACGAAGCTGGTCTCCTCAGTCTCCATACATCCAGGAGAAGCAGCTTCAACTCGATATTCTCCCTCTTCTTGACTCCCTATAGAAGTTGACAATAGAATGAATCCGAGTGCTAACAAACGTGAGAGCAATAAAAAAACAAATTGTTACCTTGTTCTCCTAAAGAAGCGCTATGGACAGATGTTTCCTCTAAAGCGGGGAGATGAACACGAGGTTTAGAAACAGCTTTCTTTTGTTTCTTCAGCGGATGTGTTTCAGAACCTTCATGACGACGTTTGGTGCGTAATTCAGTTCTGGGAGGAATCTGGGTTTGAGCTTGAGTGGAAGGTCGTGATCTTTGTCGACGAGCAAGAGGCACTTCATCCTCTTCATCCTCTTCGTCCCCACTGAGAACGTCTACCGTCATCCGATTAGGATAGGTCATGACGACTCTCTCTCCCCGTTTTCTCGAAGTAGCTTGTGATTGAGTAGGAGCAACAGATGGGCGCACAAGTCCTCTTTCAAAGAAAGAATCAGGAAGACCCGCTCTTTTATCAGAACTTGAGCTAGTCTCACCCGCCTCCTCGGAAGTCTCCGTCTCCTCAGAGTCAAATTCTTCTTCACTACCAACTGAGCGAGCCGGTTCTTTTCCTTTCCTTGATGATTCAGCAGCCTCTTTTCCTCGAGGCGACATCACAGCTTCGCGAGGCAGTTCTGTTGCTTGCCGTGGAGCTATTTCTTCCTCTGAGTCCGATATCCTCCTACGTCGAGTGACAATATTGGTGGCTATCAGCCATTTACAAAAGAGGAAAGTCATCCGTAGAGGCGGCGTCTCTAAGGGGAGATCAAAGTACTAACCAAGTCATCAGATAAGTGTAGGGTAGCTCCAACTTCGGAATGGACAGGCTGGCGGAAGGTTTCTTTTTCTCCTGAGTAAACGCGGAGATTAGTTGCCGCAATCCACTATGAATATCGGCCACCATAGCGGGAAGCAAAGATAATTTGCGACCTGTAACTAGCTGGACGGCCGGATACAACACTTCCATTGGCATCGCATCTGCGGACTGATGAGGAACTACACATCTCTTTAACCATAAGGCTAGAAAACCCGCCAGCAGAGCAGTAGGGCTAATCGGAACACCAGCTTGCCACAGATAAGAGCGGAACTTAGTGCCGTGCAAAAATCCATCTTCTGAGCGCGAAGTATAAGATTGCGCGTTGGTTTTCTCTAACAGACGGTTAATTTCATCCGTACTCAAAGGAGACAATCCGCACACATCTGTCGAACGGACATCCAGGTTCTTGAAGAGGTAGTCAGCGAATTGTTTTAAGCTGACCTGAGGAGATTTCTTTCTGGCTTTGGGCTCCATCTCGGCCATGGCTATATGATAATGGCAAGTCAATTCCCATAAAGTATCATGAGTCACAGTTGAGCTATCTTTCATCTTGTTCAGCTGATTGCTAGTTGGAAAGAACTCTTGATAGGGAACATCGCCCATAGGCAAACCAGACACCTGCATCATTTCATGCAGTGGTAATCCGAGTTCCCCGTTCTTGGTAAAGAATGTATTAGTGTCCGGGTTATAGATCTCGAACAAACAGAGGAAATGACCTACACTACTCTGTAGGCCATGCATGGTGGCACGAATCGGGACATCTAACCCTAATTCTGCTAACTCTCGCCCAAAGCGGTTTAACACATATCGGGTCATCCTGGTCCACCACCATTTGTCCCCAGAATAATGGACCCATCCATAGCATCTAAAAGTCTCTTTGGGTAATCTTTTGCCCGCTGCCGCTAACCGGTTCTTCACGGTGTTGGCTTGCACTATCTTTTCATTCTGAGGTATATTATCTTGTCCCAAGATACCCGGATGAAGCCCCCGCACATGAGCTCTTTCACTGGAGCCTGGGTTGGCTTCCTTCCCAATAAAACCACAATGAATACGCTCGTGGTTTTCAGTCAACTTCCAGAACATCTCACGTCCAACCGATAGGTTCCTGAACTTTAGTAATGAATGATCCCGAGGTATAAAAGGCAGATATAAGAATGAGGACCCATTCTGGTGCAACCATTGCGCAGGCTGGCAGAAAGCAATCTTCGGATCTTTCACCGAATCACCAAACAAGAAATCCGGCTTCCTTATGCATTGATTCGAGTCTTGCTCCGAGATCAAGGGCGCATCTGTGATTAATCGTCGTAGAACACGACAACTACCTCGCTGGATTAATTCTCTATCACTTCCGCTATAATCAGATTTAAACTGGGGAGATGATACAATTAACGGAATTCCCTCATAATAAGAATGGGTCACGATACTCTGACCCGTAACCGCATCAGCAGTAAAGATGGAGAAAGGGAATCGAACTGATAAAAGAGGCATACACATAAATTGTGTAAGTGTCATCCTAAAATTTTAGAGAAAAGCGGTATATCTTACTCCATAAGATATAGTCTCTATCTCATAACAGGTGTGACGATTTTCTATCCACCACATGTATAAAGGAGGTATGCGGATATTATAACGGCATACCAAAACCTTTCAATACATGTAGGATGATATGAAATCGCCCCTGTGTATTATGAAGTGTGTTTTGTCAAAGCAAAACAAACACTTTTAAGCGTCGATCCCCTCAAAGGAGGATACCGGCTCTTCTCGAAGGTACCTCAAAGGATACAAACGAGGATCTGCAAGCAAATACAGGAACATATATATGGAATTGACGAAATACAGTATTTAAATTCGTGAAAGGATGAAAAAGATATACCTCCACGTGAGATTGCACCAGGGGCAGCCTCCTCAGGGCTCTGAACAGTCGGTCGGCTTCGGGTTCCTCGAGCTCTACGCGGCGACATGACGAGTAGACGATCTACAAGGAAACCCAACGAAGAAAGTCAGGGTTTTTAGCAATAAATCAACCCAAATATCATCAAATATGGCCGAAATAATGCATGCATAGTCACAGTTGAAGAAAATCAAGATTTTGGAGAAAAGGGGGGTGAACAGACCTTTAAAATCCGAGTGCAATCTTCCCAAACAAGAACACCACTCAAGTCGGCAACAAAGAGGTGAAGAACTGGTCGAAAATCGCTCGAAAATCGCCCAAGAATCGCTCAAAAAATCGCCAAAATCCGACGTGAAAAACCCTAAAAAAACCCTAAGTTCGCGATTTTATACCCCCTGTCTCGCCCAGATGGACGTGTGGGGCGGTTTAAAAAAACTGTTTCCGAGACAGCAAATACTGTCTCGCACAGCGAGACAGCAAATACTGTCTCGCCGTGCGAGACAATAAATACTGGAGAACTGTCTCGCAGATGAGACGGCAGATACTCTCTTAGTCAAAAGCCAAATATAATGCAGATGAATACTCCAACGGGTACATGAGTCTAAACTATATTCCCACCCTCAATAGGAAGTTCCTGGAGAATATTAATCTGAATATTCTTAAGGATAATCTGAGGAACTCTCAATGGATATACCAATTCAGTGGTAAAAGTTGAATCTACAAGAGCAAATACCAACTTCAATTCAAGATCTTGACAACGGTCAAACGATAAACGCGACGCCGGGAGAATTTTAGCTATTCTACGAAGAACTGAATAGACTAAAAGCAGAAGAGATCAAACTAACAGCAGAAGAGGTTAAACATTGAAGCCATTTACAAGTCCTTTCATACGATCTATTCAGCCAAGCATTGAAGGGATCGTAAGTAAAATCTATCTTATCCAAAGTATCCCATGCTCCTCTATAAAAGAATGAGTCTGGAATACTTTGGAGGGGGTATCTGTAGGCGTCAAAAAATGCTAATAGATATCCCAAGCATAGAGAAGATCACTCAAAAATTCACAAGAAAGGATTTCATACTGTTTTGGAAAAATCAAAACAAGTATGAACTGTCTCGCCAGCGAGACAGTCTTTGCTGTCTCGCCAGCGAGACAGTGTTGAAATGGTCATAACCAACTTTTTAACTGCCCTACACGTGTCCATTAACTGCCAAGGGATGTGGGAAACATCGTGGGCGAAAATCACGTGGATAGCTGCCAAAATAACGGAGTTTGAAACGTGGGAGAACAGTTACAGCGAGAAACTGCCATTTTCCGAGACAGCATTTACTGTCTCGCTGGGCGAGACAACAAATTTACTGTCTCGCAGGTCGAGACAGCAAACACTGTCTCGCCCACTTCTTCGATTGTTAAGTTTTTGCAGTTACAGACCCTTGAGGCTATAAATACCCCCCTAGGGTCACTTCTGACGAGGATCGAGCATTTGTTAGAGCATTCCAGAGCAGAGAGAGCAGAGATTTGAGTTCTTTTCTTGCAACGCCTTGAAATTAAGCTTCGACTTGATTTTAAGAAGAACGACTATCTTACTTCGATAAGATATCGTTTCAATTTCTACTTCGATAACGAAGTTAGAATCATAAGCCCCCTCTTCACGATCTGTGAATCGGCGGTCCACGAACCAAAGCGTTCCCGGCACAGGCAAAGTCCCACGAAAACGAGAATTGATAGACGATTTTCGTGTTTGTTTCTCAAGAGTTGTAATTTTTGTTTTGTTGTGTAGAAAAAGTCTTATAAAAAGATTATTCTTTCGAATTTGTTGTAATCGAACAAAGTTATAATGAATTCCACAGCAGCGACTTTTGAACCAAACAAACATGACTAGAACCTGGTTGGTCTTTCGGTTCTATCTCAATAACCTGGGACTTTGAAGTCCCAACAGTCCCAACACCATCATCCTTGGGCGTCCTAGCAATCATGGATTTTTCATCAAAGGTAATGTCCCTGCTGATCACGAACTTCGAATCTTCTGTATACCAAAGGCGGTAGCCTTTTACGCCCTTCGCATACCCCAAGAATATCGCCTTCTTGGCCCTCGCATCAAGCTTTCCCTCGTTGACGTGATAATAGGCGGTACATCCGAAAATTCTGAGCCTCTCATAATCTGCATGTTCCCCTGACCACACCCTATAGGGTGTATCACCATCTAGTGTAGAATGTGGAGAACGGTTCACAATGTAACATGCTGTAGCCACCGCTTCTGCCCACCATTCGTTGCCCAATCCAGCATAAGATCGCATACTCATTGCCTTCTCCCGCAATGTTCGGTTCAGTCTCTCCGCGACCCCGTTCTGCTGTGTTGTTGACCTGACTGTCCAGTGTCGAACAATGCCCTCCTGATCACAGAACTCCTTGAAAGCACCGTCTGTATACTCTGTACCGTTGTCAGATCTCAGTGTCTTCAATTTCTTACCTGTCCTGTTCTCAACCATTGCTTTCCACTTCTTGAATGTCTCGAATACCTCATTCTTATGCTTAAGAAAATAAATCCAAGCATACCTAGAATTCTCAACCATTGCTTTCCACTTCTTGAATGTCTCGAATACCTCATTCTTATGCTTAAGAAAATAAATCCAAGCATATCTCGAATGATCATCTATGAACGAGACAAAATACCTGGAACCACCCTTGGAAGTTGTCTGAGCCGGACCCCAAACATCCGTGTGCACATAATCTAGTATACCTCTGCTCTTGTGATTGCTTTTCAAGAATTGGACCCTGTGCGCCTTTCCATACACACAATCCTCACAAAAATCCATGCAATGTTTCTTCAGATTCTTCAGCAAACCCTCCTTACCAAGCAGAACCAGACCCTTCTCTGACATGTGCCCAAGCCGCCTATGCCATAACCGTGTGTGCTCACATGGGTCTCCACCACTTCCTTCAGTTCCAACCGCTGCATCTCCTGTCACCGTCGTACCCGAGAGAGTATATAGATTACCGTGACGAACACCCTTCATCACTGTTAGGGAACCTCGAACAACCTTCTTCACTCCGTTCTCTGTAACAATCTTGCAGCCACCGGAGTCCAATGCACCCACTGAGATAAGATTCTTCCGCAAATCAGGAACGTGCTGTACGTCCGTTAGGGTTCTGACCACTCCATCATGCATCTTGATTTTTATATCACCGAGCCCCACCGTTTTACAAGCATGGTTATTCCCCAGCAATACAGTTCCACCATCAATGCTCCTATAGGTAGTATTCCCCATCAATACGGTTCCACCATCAATGCTTCTATAGGTAGTAAACCACTTCCTATTTGGGCACATGTGGTAAGAGCAACCTGAATCAAGTATCCACTTACCGGAGGTATCTTCGCCACCCGTAACAACATAGCATTCTTTATCGCTCCCTTCCTCCGATGCGTAACTCGCCTCTTCCTTGCCTTCTCTTCTCTCGGTCTTGTTGTTGTTCTTTTTCCCACCTACTCTCTTGTTAGGACAGTCGACCTTGAAATGCCCAACTTCACCGCATTTGAAGCACGCTCGTCCCGCAAGGGGTCTCGATTTAGATCTAGACTTTCCTCCCTTGCCTTTTCCTCGCTCATTGCTCCTTCCTCTAGCAAACAATCCCTGCGCTTGTTCTTTGTTACCACCAGTAGTCATGTCACTGGTTGCAATCTTCCGAAGGTCATCCGCTAGAAGTGCCGTTCTAGTCTCATCCATCGTCAAATTGTCTCCCACAAGCATCAGTGTTTGCACCAGGTTCTCATAAGACTTCGGCAGAGATAGAAGTAGTAGAAGCGCCTGATCCTCATCTTCTACAGTCACATCGATGTCCTTCAAATCCGATATTATCCTATCGAACTTGTTGATGTATTCCCGGAGTGATGAGCCCTCCTCCATCTTGCAAGTATACAATTTGGATTTCAAATAGATCCGGTTTGTTAGACTCTTCGTCATGAAGGTGCTTTCTAACTTCGACCACACGCCCGTAGCCGTTTCCTCTCCATCTACCAAGAAAGCTACATCCCTTTCAAGGCAAAGGATAATCGACGCCCGTGCTTCCAGATCCAGCTCCTCCCAATCCTCATCAGACATATCCTTGTGCTTCTTCTCTTTTCCCGCCAAAGCTTTGTGCAATTTCTGCGAAATCAACGTGTTCTTCATCTGCATCCTCTAATAGGAAAAATCATTCTTCCCATTGAATTTTTTCAATCTCGTATTTTCCCACTTTAACTGTTTTACTTGTTGACGCCATTTTCCGCTTGTATTAATGAATTCGCTTCTCTCAGGAAATTACCGAGCACCACCTCAAATCAGAAGCTACACCACTCCCAATCTGAATAACAGCTCTGATACCAATTGTTGGGCGCAGAGTCACGCCCACCGCCGCGGAAGCGATATCACCTGAGAGAGAGCCCTGACTTTTGTTTGCACAAAGTACAAGTCAAACTCGATATCTGTGTTTCGCGAAGGAAACCTAGACTCAGTAGCGAAATATCTCAGCGAAGTGAGATATCCACTCTTCCTCTCATCAGCGCAAGACCGAATTTTGAGGGATCCTACAAGCAATAGCCAACAACCCAGAAAACAGTAAATACACGAGATTTACGTGCTTCGGCAAACTTGCCTACGTCCACGAGAGGGGTGAGGGGAGATTCCACTATAAGGAGAACACCGACGACTTGTACAATCCACAAGCTCGTCTCAAAGGAAAAATAGATCTGATTTTTACCCAAAAGAAATAAACCTCTCTTTTGTAAAACCCTATTTTCTCTCTCCTCAAGATCTCTCTTTTTTCTCTCTCAACAACTGCTCACACACAGCCGCAAAAGAAACCCTCTGCCTTTGTAAGCCGCTGTTCCTTGCTGCAATTTAACCCCCTGCACTTTAGCCGCAATTTCCTCACGTCGCTGCCGCCGAGAAAAGAACTTCCCCACACTTTGCCTCTGCGATTTTTCCCACAGCAGCCGCCTAAAGAATTTCCCCCTATAGCAAACCCTAGGAGATATAGGCTATTTATAGGAGAGATCACATGTATGTAAGCGGGTTTAAAAGTTCACGAACATGGGCCTTGGCATTTACCCGCTAGGCATTGGCCAAAAGCACTCACGCACACTTGGGTGGCCCCCACTTGCCACCGCTGTTCACAGACATCTTCAGCTTAGGGCATTTCCCAGTCACTAGATCTTCAATGGAGTGCAGATGTTGAAACTCTTCCTCCGCATGCATGCCCACCAGCTCTTTACAGTCAGTAACTTTCCAAAATACGAGAGATGTAACATGATTTTGAAATAAGCCGGCCACGGAAGTGCTACAGCCGCTACCACGGAAGTGCTACATCTTCTAGGTTCAATTCTTGGAGACTGAGGGGCAGAGGGTGCAATGCCTTCAGTTTGGAACATTTCTTGATAAAATTTTTTTTGAGGACAGGACACCAGGGCTCTGCTTCTAGTCCAGACCACTTTTCCCATTCGTCACGGTAATAGATAGATACATACTGTAGTTGTTGAAAACCTCCTTCACAGTTAATTATCTTAACAGCTAGTCCGCTTAGTCGCAAATTCTTGAGATATGGAAGCTTCCCAAGGGAAGGAAGGTGCTCCCATGCACTGCAAAATTTAAGATTTACGTACTCCAGATTTCTTAATAATTCTGGTCACATCCAACAAGGAGACCTGGCCCCTTGATATCTTCTGATTTTCAGTTCCTTGAGGATATCAGGCGGCTGCAGGCAATCAAGCACCCTTTCACACTCATTTGCCACATCACTATCAACTGACCATGCCAACTTTAACTTGTGGAGTTTTTTTTATCCCATGCAATTGGATCATACCAACTTCCTCATGATGTTTGTCATTCTTAAGGCCATCAATCTTCAGTTCCTGGAGCTCTTTCAGGTCCTTCAATTCGCTCATTTTATAAACATTAGCGGGGAATGACAACTCTTGAAGTGAAGTAAGTGTCCCGATCCCAACAATGTTTTCATAATAAATACATGGTATCAGGTGTCTCAAACTAATAAGATGATTCAAGCCAAGAACATGTTGATTACCAGACTGTGTACTAACAAGTACTTGCAGGTGGTAAAGCTTGCAGAATGAACTAGGTAACTGATGATGAATTGACAAATACCCGAGATGCCTCAGGTCACATATTGCCTATGGCAATACTTTCAATCCATCAACAGCTAGACGAAGCACCCGAATACTTTCAAATGATTTAAACACCTCTTCAAAAGCCTCCGCATGCGCATTAACATATCCTCTGAAGATCAACACAAAGGTGTGTAGGTTCTTCCATTTGGCCATATCTTTAAGAAGGTTAAGTTCACAAGTTTCAAAAGTACAAATAACGTATCGATATGGGGATATCGTCAATTGACATCCCTCCAACAAATCTAAAGCATTCATCATGAGATACCTTACATGCCAAATCATGCAAAAGATCATGCATGATGTAACATTTTTCAAGTTCTGTAGTAACGGGATTATAAAATTCGGGACCTCTTTCAACAAATGATAGTTTCACTAAATCATCAAAGTAACGTCTTCCTATATATCCTCCGGTGTCTCCATTCAATATTGGGGAGATTGTTGAATGAAGCTGAGGCCCATTTACATGAAGACTAGATCATATTTGACAAACTTAATCTTGAGGAAAGATGCTGCAATAAGCAAAACAATGTCTTAAGAGCCCTGGTAATTGATGGTAGCTCAACATCAAAATCAGCATCACATCATCCCTCTCCAGTAAATGATCTGATATATTCCTCGATTGCGAAATCATGGTCCAATAATTATCATTCAATTTAGAATTCAATAGCGCTCCAATCGTCCTTGCTGCCAACGGTAAGCCTCCGAGCCTTCTTGCTATTTACTTGCCAATGGATTCCAACTTTCTATAATCACAAGAGTTCACATAGGCAAATGCCTATTGGTTGAAAAGGGATAAGAAGTCATCACCATATAAGGGATTTCATTTCATTGAATACTTATCAATCCTCCCAAAGCCGATGAAGCCATGTCTGCAACACTTTCCTTTCTAGTAGTTAATAAGATTTTGCTTGCTCTTTGTCCACTCCTCAAAGAAGCAAACAATTTACCCCAAGCAAACATATCATCATCATCCCAAGCATCATCTAACACAAGGAGAAATTTCCCACATGATACCAGTTTCTTAAGAGCTTCCAACAGGGCGCCAAGTCCCCCAACTTCAGGTTTACTTCCTGTAGCATATTCTATCATATCTTTCATGACCTTTTTGGCATTGAAAATGAAGGGAAAGGAGATACAAACCCAGATTTTTGATTTGAAACATTTGTCTAAGCTCTCATCATCAAAGACGAGTTGTGTGAGGGTGGTCTTCCCCACTCCTCCATGGCCCGCAATGGAGAAAAGAGATACACAAGTACTCCTCTCATCCTCTTCTGCTACGGGCTTCATCAACCACTTTAATAGTTCCCCGTTCTCATCAATTTATCCGAACACTTTTTTCTCAATTACACTTGGTCCAGTTTCACGATTAGAATTGCCGCTCTGAGTTTCGTGTTGTTGCTTGGACTCTTATAGTGTAGTGATGAAGTTTCCCACACTTATCGCGACTTCATCTAGCCTCTTGACAATCTCCCTTAGTTTCTTGACTCTTGAGGTTATGGTCAGATTTAAAAACCTTTTTGCGAAATACGACAACTTTTCATTTAGAGTTAGAGAGGAAACCATGCACCTTATTACAACCGTGTCTTTTGTTGCATGCATGTCATATTTGAGAAAAGTTCATTGACTTTTGTTGATTGAGAAAGAAAAAAACATCTATCAGTTTGAGGATTCGATGTGAAACTTGAGGTGCCTGAGTATTCGTTGTGAAAGTTTAAGTGTCCTTTGCCAAGGGTTTAAGAGAGGAGGCTAAGGAGAAGGGTTAACCCATCACGAGGGGTTATAAATAGTTTAACTCCGTTTCGAGTAAATAGTTAACATGAAGGATTAACTTTTCCGAGTTCAGTAAATAAAGAAGAGTTAAACAGGTTAATCTCACTTATTTTTCAAATAACCATTTTAACCGCTTCAAAAGCTAGAATTTTTTTTAGTAATCATTATTTGAGATCGATTAAACTAGAATTTGCATTCATCCAAATGTGATAACATTGTTAAATGTGATAATAATGTTGTTTTGTATTATTTAAATAAATGATTATTGGGGAGTCCAATAAAAACCAATTTAAATTAGAAAATTAATAACTTGTCATTATATAGGAATAATATGATAGAAATTCTTATAAAAATTGTAAAAAAAATTAAATTATCATATTACCATGTAATGAAATGTTAAATAGGGATAATTGATCTACCAAAAATTTAAAAGACTTTTAATTAATCATTAATTTCAAAAGAGAATTAGATATTAGAGAGGAAAAGTAACAATTTTCTTATTAAAATTATATACAAAATTTGGAATTTATTATCATAAATAAATTTATATTTTCTCCTATTTCCCTCCACTATATATCTTTTTTCCTCTTAAATATCTAACCACATGTTTCCTATTGAAAATAAACTTGATTGAATTACCTTGGGAATTGAGAAGATCATTTAGTTGTTTGATGAGTCAAATGTATGAATACATAGATGGATGAATGTTGTCGGGAAATTCAAGAGTGTTTGTTAGGAAATATATGAGTCATTGTAGTAGTATATATATGTGTGGTTTGTAAGTTGAAAGATATGAAGAAAAGAAGAAAGAAAAATTAATAAAATAATTTTATGCCCTCTACAAATCGTTTATCCTAAGAAAAATATTGTTATCAAATTGGTATGAGAGCTAAAATGAGTTCCAATGGAATGATCACGTTCGTTACTCCTAAACTCACCAAAGAGAATTATGAAAATTGGTGCATTTAAATGAAGGCTCTATCACGATCAATTAACTTTTGGGATGTTGTGGTGAAATGCTTTGAAAAGCCTGAAGATGAAGGTGCGCTATTAGTAGCACAGAGAGACTCGCTTAAAGCGTCCAGTAAGAAAGATAGTAGAGCCCTTTACTTTATTTACCGAGGAGTTCATGAATCGGCATTCGAGAATAACTCAGATGCAGCGACCTCAAAACAAGCTTGGGAGATACTTCAAAACTCCTATAAGGGAGTAAAGAAGGTGAATAAGGTGTGATTGCAAACACTTTGAAAGGAGTTCGAAGATTTAGAGATGAAGGAAAGTGAACTAGTTTCTGACTATTTCACTCGTGTCTTGGTCGTGGTGAATTAACTTTGGAGAAATGGTGAGAAGATTGAAAATGTTCTTGTGGTGGAGAAAATTCTTCGATCACTTCCTCATAAATTTGACTATATTATTTGGAGAAGATGACGATTGATGAACTCTTGGTTTCTTAAATGCCCACGAGAAAAGATTTAGCGAAAAAATTAGTCGGTGGAGAAGGCTCTTCAAACTAAGCTTTCTTTGAAAGATGGTCGAGAAGATTCAAAAGAAGGAAGTAACGGCGGTCGTGACCATGGAATATTTCGAGGCAGATTTTGAGGCCGAGGGTGTGGTTTCTATGGCAGAGGAAGTCACAACAACTTTGAAGAAAGAGGTCAAAATCAAAGATCTTTAGGGGCCGTGGATGTGGTAGATCTAATGGAGATTGATGGAAAACACAAGTTTAATATTTCAAATGCAAAAAGTATGGTCATTACTCTTCAGATTATTATTACAATCAAGTTGAAGAGAAGGTGAATTATGTTGAGAAAAGAGATGATGTTTATATTCTTTTATAGCATTCAGAGGAGATGGTGACAAGAAGGATGTTTGAAATCTTGATACTAGTGCTAGCAACCATATTTGTGGCAAGAGAAGTATGTTTGTCGATATGGACGAGTCTGTGAATGACAAGGTAACTTTTGGAGATTTCTCAAATATTCCAATAAAAAAGGCCGAGGTAAAATTCTTATTCACCTCAAAAATGGAGAAGAAAAATTTATCACCGATTCTATTATGTGCCCAATATGAAAAGCAATATATTGAGTTTGGGATAGCTCTTAGAAAAGGGCTATGATTTTCATACAAAAGATCGTAGTCTAATATATTGAGTTTGGGATAGCTCTTAGAAAAGGGCTATGATTTTCATACAAAAGATCGTAGTCTTTTTCTTTGAGATCCAAAAGGTAGATTGATTGCAAAAGCACGGATGTCAAAGAATCAAATATTCATGCTAAACCTTCAAGGTGGAGATGTGAAATATTTGAAGGCGTGTACCAACGATCTTGCTTGGCTATGGCACTTGAGATGTGGGCATCTCAATTTTGATAGATTTGAAGGCGTGTACCAACGATCTTGCTTGGCTATGGCACTTGAGATGTGGGCATCTCAATTTTGATAGTCTGAAGACATTGGTCGATAGAAGTAATGGCACTTGAGATGTGGGCATCTCAATTTTGATAGTCTGAAGACATTGGTCGATAGAAGTATGGTGAAAGGGTTGCCGATAATTGATCATCTCGAGCAACTCTGTGAAGGATGTCTAGCGGGGAAGCATCATCGAGCTATTTTTTTCAAAGGAGACTTCATTTCATGCATCGAAGCCGCTACAACATGTATATACTAATGTCTGTAGGCCGATCACTTTGACCTCAATCAGTGAAAATAGATATTTTCTTACCTTCGCCGATGATTTTTCTCGAAAGACTTGGGTATACTTCGTGAAGAACAAATCTGAAGTGTTTCCATGTTTAAGAAGTTCAAAGCTAATGTGGAAAAATAGTGAATTTTATCTTAAAACTATCATATCAGGCCGATGTGGAGAATTCACTTCAAAGAAGTTTGAAGCATATTATGAAGAATATGGAGTTCGACATTTTCTGACTACTTACACTCGACAACAAAACGGCGTTGCAAAGAGGAAGAACCACACTATTTTGAATATGGTAAGAAGTATGTTGAGTAGCAAGAAGGCGCTTAAAACCTCTTGGGCTGAAGTTGTTTCTTGCGCCATCTACATCATCAACCGGTGTCTAACTCAGAGTCTCAAAAATATTACTCCACAAGAAGCCTGGACCGTTACAAACCAAATGTGAGCAACTTCAATGTGTTCGGCAGTATTGGCTATGCTCATGTTCCAGAGCAGAAGAGGAATAAGCTCAACGAGAGGAGTATTCCATATTTATTCATCGGCTATGATTCAAGAAGCAAGGGTTACAAGATATATGACCCGTGCAGTGAAAAGTTCATTATTAGCCGAGATGTTCAATTCGTTGAAGAGAAATCACGGGACATATGACCCGTGCAGTGAAAAGTTCATTATTAGCCGAGATGTTCAATTCGTTGAAGAGAAATCACGGGACTGGAGCAATGGAGAAATTTGTATTCATTATTAGCCGAGATGTTCAATTCGTTGAAGAGAAATCACGGGACTGGAGCAATGGAGAAATTTGTAGCAGCCCGATTACTTTCATTAGTGAAGAGACTGAGGTCAGGAAAGATGCTCCAACACATACTCTATCGACATGCACTCTATCATCACCGACGACATCATCACCAACCACGCCTCAGTCTCCCCAAATCGATGACTTATTTAGCATCATCTTCATCATCATTGAGCCCACAACCTCAAAATTTTAGGAGTTTGAGGGAGTTGTATGAGGTAACTGAGAATCAAGATGATTTAACATTATTTTACTTATTTGCTGGTTGTGAGCCTTTAAACTTTGAAAAGGTGGTTCAAGATCCAAAGCAGAGTTCAGTCATGGATGAAGAGATCAAGTCTATCGAGAAGAATGATACCTGGGAGCTTGCAACACTTCCAGAAGGTAAGAAAGCAATTGAAGTCAAATGGGTGTTCAAAGAGAAGAAGAATGCAAAAGGAAAAATTGAGAGGCATAAGGTGATGTTAGTTGCCAAAGGCTACAAGCAGAAAGCTGGAATTGACTATAACGAGGTATTCTCTCCAGTAGCTCATCTTGAAACTATAAGGCTGATTATTACCTTAGCAGCTCAGAACAAATGACCAATCCATCAACTTGATATGAAATCAGCACTTTTAAATGGTGTTCTTAAAGTGGAGGTCTACGTGGATCAACCTTGGTTACATCAAGAAAGGAGAAGAATCAAAGGTATTGAAGTTGAAGAAAGCTCTTTATGGCTTGAAACAAGCACCAAGAGCTTAGAAAAGTAGAATTGATGAATATTATCAAGCTCATAATTTTTCTAGATGTCTTTATGAGCATTCCTTATATACTAAGGTAAATGAAGTTGGAGATGTTCTTATTCTATGCTTGTATGAGGATTATTTAATATTTACAGGAAATAATCTACACATGTTCGAGGAGTTCAAAACCTCCATGGTTCATGAGTTCAAGATGACAAACATCGGACTCATGTCTTATTATCTTGGCATTGAGATGAAGCAAAGCCAAGATGAAATTTTTATCTCTCAAGAGGGATATGCAAAGACAATTCTT